ACGGCAGACTGTGCTGAGAGGCAGAGAAAAACAAGTTAAAATAGAAGATAAGAGTGCAGGTGTTATCAAAACTTGGTCCAAGCTGACCAAGCAACAAGGACTCAGGATCTAAACAATGGATCAAGCTAGAAGGCCTGGAAACCTAGCAGAAACAATCAATGTTCAAACATTACTCAAGGCAGGGCTCCTTATGTCCCTGATCTTACAGGAAGAAAGCAGACACATCTTGCTGTAAAGAAATTAAACGCAACAGGGGAAGAAAAGTTCCTAGTATTGCTATATTTGTAAGCTTTGTTCATTTGCCATATGACGTAAAGACATTCCACAACCTACAATTTTCACTAAACTACCAGGATCATATTCTGAGAAAAAATGAAGGAATTCTTGAAAGATTATGAGACATTTAATACATCTGTTTATGTTAAAGTACAGTACTCAACAAACCAGTTCAGTAGTATGCAAACTTTACAGTGCATAACACAAAATGCTATCAGGCTCCCTCAAGTAGTTTCTTTCAAATGAAATACAATAATAAAGCAATTTTGACTTTTAAAAATAACTTTCCTTGAAACAAATTGAGACAAATTTCAAGTGAAAAAGAAATTAAGTACTTCATTTACAGATGCACTTTAGCATAAACACATTCTGATTCTTATTCTCAATAAATCCCAACTATATGACTCTCTGTCAATCAACTCAGGAAATGTCAGACAATGTTAAAATGTTCTCTGTCAGTTATAAAAGTGAACAAAACTCAGATTACTGTATATTTTATTAAAGATGCTGAAACATGGCACATCTCAAGGAAGACACCAGGTGCAGAGGAAGTGTCAGTTCTCTTTCATTTTTCAATCAATTGGGTGCATCATTATATGACAGTCATTCCTCAGTCTCTGTGGGGGATTATTCTGAGACCCTCCATAGGCATCAAAATCCATGGATGCTCAAGTCCTTTAAGTAAAATAGCACAGTACTTGCATATAACCTATCCGCATCCTCCTTTATACTTTAAATCATCTTGATTACTTATAATGTCTAATACAATGCAAACGTATGAAACAGTTATGTTGTATTATTTTTATTATTTTTACGATTGCATTGTGATTTTTTGGGTTGTATTGTTATTTTTGTTCTTGTTTTTTCTTTCCAAATATTTTCCACTTCCAGCTGGTTGAATCCAGAGATACAGAACACAGAACACATGGATACAGAGAGCCGATTACACTTGGTATTTCATGTGTTAAACTACCTAGTTATATAATCTGAGACTTACAATATACAGAGGCAGATTCTCTTTATGCAGAAGCAAATATGTAAATTCTGTTTTTCCTATTTTCAGAATCATAAGAGTCAGCCCAAAGTTTTTCCATCTCAGCTACTCCAAGTAACTCTCCTTGGAGAGTTTGCTCTCTACCCAAAACAAAAAACTTATTTCTAATAAAGGAGTGATGTGACTAGGAAAGAAAAGAGGAACACTCAATCTGCCAAGAAAAAACTAACAAGTAGACAAGTAGGTACATTTGCATATAAACTTGCTTAAAATATTTTTTAAAAAATCACACCAGAATTCAGAAATGTTCTACATCATGGGGTGATCCTCTTAAAAATCATTTCTAAAAGGAAAATATTTATGATTCTCTAGTCATGAACAAGAATTAGCATAGATATAAATGTTTTTAAAATTGAGAATATATAAATTCAGTTGGAAGTTAATTAGTGTTCCTAAGACTACTAGAAGGCAAAATGCTTATTCACTCTAATTCACTCAAGTCCAAGCAAAGATTATATCTTGCCTTTGGCTAAATTCCACAAGCCCCAAGTCAATTAAATACATTTTAAAAGTGTGGATGAATCCTGTATGAGTAGGCCCAACTAGAGAGCTCAAGAACAGGTGCAACACTGTACTGGGAAGACCAGAGAAAAAAGAGCAAAAACGCACAGAAAAAAAAAAAAGAGGTGTATCAAATTTATAAAGACAAAAATAAAAGAACGTTAGAATAACAATGTATTTTATCTTTGTGGACTCAACATGACCTACATGTCAATTAACTCTATCCTTATATCCCACATTATATCATCTACAAAAGAAGTGAACAAACGTATTATGTTCTCCCATATAAACAAAATAGTTAAACAACAGGTGAAGGGAAAGAGGGAATGGTGTTAGGCAGGTGAATGGTGGCTGGCAAAGGACACTGTGCTGGTATGGGGTGGAGAAGAGATGCTAGCAGAGGGGCTATCGTCACCACCAGACAGCTCCAATTGATAGCCTCACTCTCTAAGTCACCCTGACACTGTCACTAAATCACCAACTTAAAAACTTTATCTAAGTTTTCGTAAGATATCTAAAGTAAAACCCCATTACAAAGAATTCCTTGGGATATGTGAATGTATGTGTGATGTATTTTTACCTATTTGCAGAGAATAAGACCAATTTTTCTTATTATCACATGCATGACTCACATATCTAAACATAGCATGCTTCTTATACACTGTATTACCTAAAATAACTATTAATTTAAATCTTTTCATTTCAACCTTTTAACCTCATTTGATAACTGTAGCCACACCTCCTCCACATATCAGTATATCCATTAATTTAAAAAGTGCTCAGAAGCCACTTGATATCAATTTTTAAAAGCCCAAATAAGAATTTCTTTCAAAGACATTTTTTACAGTTAACACTCATCATGTAAGACATTTACTTTAGCATAGCTAAAATAGATTTTTAATTATATAAAAGTTTCAACACATCACCTGCTCCCTCAATTTCCTGCCAACCAATTCCATGCTCATTCTTCCCTATTATAATAGACAGTGACCTTTTCAAAGTCAATCTCTGCAATAATCCCTGCAAAGCCTTAGTATATTATTATGCTATTTTATTTTCAGCTTCTCACTCTCTCCCACCAATTTTCAAATATTGAGGTTTCTCCTTCTTAATTCTATATCTGTCCTCGTCACAAAATTTCCTCACCTTACACTTGATAGTTCAACCAACTCCCACCAAATCTGTCCCCAAAAGGTCAACTATGACCTCTTTGTTGCTATAAATCCAATAGATACATATTTTCAGTCTTCATTTTGCTTGGTATCTCCACAACAAAGATTTCATTTCTGGTGTAGACAGTTTCCTATTCACACCCTCATATCCTGGCCTACCTTAAGTTTTCCTGTTCTTCCTTCAGGTACTCCTTAGTCTTGACCCCGGAAGGAGAGTTAGATCCGAAAGCTTCCACTGTATGCACAACTTCCTTCTCTCTACAGCCTAATTCTATGGGCACCTACTTTAATATAAGTCCTTCTTGACAGATTATGTTCTTTATGAAACCAGGGATTATATTGATTACACTGTATGTGGTTTATCACCATACCGACAATTTTAAAGCAAAGTACCTGGCATAAACACTCTGTAAACTGCCTGAATTACTTTCACCCAATAAACAAGCTGTTACTATATAACAGATTTGTCACTACAAAATGAACTAAACGGATGCTTTGGTTCAAATGGATTTGCTTTTTCAGGACCCAGAATGGCTTGTTAGAAATTTCTAAATACACTCAACATACTAAAACTAATTCTCTATTTACTTAACCTAATAAGTGTAAATGACATCATCAGGTTTCTAATAATGACAGTTAATGACTCTCAAAATGGGCAAAATGAAAGTGTCACTGGTACTACTCAATTTATATCCTAACGGAATAAAAAATGTGTAACTTCAAGCTGGGCATGGTGGAGTTAGAGACCAGCCTAGCTGACATGACAAAACCTCATCTCTACTAAAAATACAAAAATTAGCTGGGCATGGTGGCAGGCACCTGTAATCCCAGTTATTCAGGAGACTGAGGCAGGAGAATCACTTAAACCCAGGAGGCAGAGGTTGCAGTGAGTCAAGATCATACTACTGCACTCCAGCCTGGGTGACAGAGTGAGACTCTATCTAAAAAAAAAAAAAAAAAGTGTAACTTCAATCTGCACATTTTAAAGAAAAAAAAATACCATAGAGACTTAAACAGCATTTCTGGAAGGAAAATATCTAGCCCTTAGCCTATAACCAGCAAACCCTTATAATATGAGATAATTTTTTTTTAAATTAATTCAAATCTATATTAATGTTTTGCTCTACTATAATGCTTTCAGTTTTCAGGTACTAGCAATCAACATCTACAACAACAGTGAGTCATGCTCACTGAATGCCAGAATTTCCATACAGGAGAGACAAAGGGGATGCAATCTGGGATGGGTATGAATTTAATTTGATATTGGATTTGTTTGGCAAGCACACTATTTTACTTAGATTGTACATTTATTTGTGATGGCTTTAGAGGAATGTTGGAAATTACACCTAGAGATTAGAGCTTCTCCAAGACTGTCACAAGTAATGCAAATTCCTCATTTTAAGCAAACCAAAACGCTATTAATAAAGTTAGAGATAATAGCAAAATATGCAGTGGCTATTTTTCTGTTGTACATTTAATAATAAAAGACATAACACATAGAATACATAATCACTTAACTATTACAAACATGATTATTGTATACATTGAAATTATACTTAAATTTTCCAAAAGACTTTTTATCATGATGAGCCGAACACTTGAACCATCTGGATCTTAAAAACAAGCTGCAATAATATCCTCAATATTTATAAGCTGGGCAAAGTTAAGGAAGAATTCCCAAGAGGTGCATTGGAGACATGAACAGATAATTTCTTCTTGTCTACAACTCTATAAAAATAGAATCCGTTGGATTGGAAAGAATATGAAAAATGAGTTTCAATGAGGTGACAAGAAAAAGCAGGAATGAAAACTATCTGCTCTTTCACACCTTAAAATCTATTATTTATAATTTTATTGTACTGCCCATATATAAATATGAATGTTAAACTAGAACACAGCACTTTATACTAACTTTCAACGTCTATTAACATTTTTACACAACTGCTACATAAAAAGCTGACAAGAGAATCTGCTTTAAACCTTTCACATGACCTTACCTTATACAACTGTAATGTTTAAAAGTGCTGGCAGCTTTCTGACATTCAAGGCACAACTGAATAGCTCCTGGATAATCTTCCTCCTTAAGATAACAACAACAGGAGTCATTAGAATACAAACATTTTTTTCTTAAAGCTCCTGATTAAAAAACACCTCTGTTCATATTCTAACCAAAAATTGCAGAATCAAAAAATGTTAATCCTCTTAGAACATCAATGATAGGTAAGTGACAAAATATAAGAGGCAACTAGTTCCAGGCCTAAGATATATACATAGAAGAAATATTTAAAATATTCTATTCCTTCAAAGTAACAGCCCCCTGAAGACCATGACTTATGGATAAATCCTACATTAAATCATTAGCTGCTTCACAGGGAAGGTTTTCTTTAACTGTTAACATATCCTCTTTCAGTAATGCCTATATAAAATGTTTCAAAATAGTATGCATTCTATTAGTAATTGATATTCAACAATTTACCACCAAGAAATCAATAAATAGTTCTAAAGAAATAGATTTAGAAAAAAGCAATATACTAATTAATAAACTCAGAGTATTTTTATCACCTAACAGTAATTTAATGCCAAATGAATTTTTCATATGGGTTTCTGAAACCCTAGTTAGCAGTAATAGTTGAGAAGTAATAAAGCAATTATACAGAAAACCACAAAAACTTGTCCCTACGCTCAATTCTAAATTCAACAGATGCAGTTCAAACCACTGGTGATGCTGATAACGACAAAGTACCTACCCCAAGGAGCTCAAGTATTATGAGGAAACACACATATTACATTATGCTTTGGAGACCCTTATGACAGAAGTAGACAGAAAATGCTAAGAATGCATCAAAGGAAAAACAGATGGCTCACTCAGAAAAGCAATTAATACACGATACTGAACAAAACTAAAGTATCACACAGTCCTTAAATTACTACTATATGTTAGGTGAAAAAGATGTTAATTTTTATTGCTATTTGGATGTAATACAACCAAACAAGTTAACATTCCAATGTTATCAGAAGACAAATGTTTCCCCAAATACATTTGCTTTTCTAAATAAAGTATATATCATGTCAATAGAAAATGGCTCCAGAACAAGTATCTTTACATGCCTAAAAATATTCTTTATATCATAAACCAATTTGAGAAAGATGCACTTCTGAATTTTGCCTGCTTTAATGTTTCTATATAGTATCAGTAGGACCCTAAATTTCCAAAACTTGTTAACTTACCTCCAGCATTTCACTTAACCGTACATCTGTTCTTTGCTGAAAAAACAAATATCAAAGGTAAAATCTGTTTCAACCACAAAATTCAGTTTTAACTTTTTTAAAATGACCCATATATACCAATGTTTTTATAGTTCTCAGAGATTTCAGAAGTCCAATCAGCAACTGACGTTTCCTTTGATTTGCAAGAAGGCCTAAACTAGCTTGAGTAAAACCTTCCTTTGCAATATTCAAGTGTCTGCAAAAGTGAACAATAAATAATTAAAAGTTTTTTATTATAATAAGAATACTATCCACACAGAACAATTAGGTAAGTAATAAAGCAACGAAATGGATTACTTTTAAAACCAAGGATCTAAACTACTATTTGACAAATGTACTCAATGGCCAGTCTAAACTAGCATTACTCAGAATACCACGAGAAGACTGGTGCCAATTCACAACCTGCTAGTGGTCTGTAACAAAAAATTACAGAAACTGAGAATAGGCACTTACTGCAAAATAGGTACTTACTGCAAAAGCTAACAGAATAATTATTCTTTGTGACTCAAATAATTTAAAAAATTAAGACTGTATTACAGGTCTTTCCTTCTTTATTTCATTTGCCTAGTAATTTGTTTTTATTGCATTTTTTAAAAATCACAGCCTATAATAGATTGGAAATTTTAGAAAGAAAAAAATAGGTCCTTCATGGCAAACAGTTTGTGAAGTACTAGTCTAAATAATACAAAAATAGTAATTTTTTAAAAACCCATAAGTACATTTAGAGATATTTCCCACAAACCCTCTTAGTGTAGTCTTTAGATCATAATATATGTTCGCTTACGGAATGATATTCTAGAAACCACAGCCATAATAAAAAAAATTATAAATTATAGATTCCATAGTTATTCTTGAAATATTGTCCAGCGTAAAGAACAAAATATCATCAAAAGCAATACCTTCTGCCATTTGTACAGATAACAGCAGCTAATTGAAGACCTGTCTGCAATGAGGTAACTCTTTCAAGTTCCTACGGAAAGATTAGGTACGGGTTACTGTTGGAGGAATTTTATTTTTCTATCTTATTTATATAGTACTCTAACAAAAACTCTAGTCACATTCAAAGAAGATCTGCTTGAAAAACAAAGTAGCAACAAAAATACCTGAACTTGAAAAATGTTAGTATATTTTTCACAAAATTACTTAAAATGACTACTTGTAACTGATTTTCACAATGACAGATGACAAAATATTTAGTCAGTATTGCTTGTAAGGAAATCTAGACCAACTTGTTGTAGACAGGAATAAACAAATACCAGTGATATATCTGTTTAAATTTCTACCCAAGAGAACTTCACAAGGTAATTAAAGGATATGACAAACATGATTTCTGTTTACTAAGATGCTTTGACAATGAAAGTCTTCATTTGAACATTGGTAGACATTTCAATGGATTTTGAAGGCTCTGATTTTCTGATGAAAACACAGATTCAGTTAGTTCCAATTTTATCATATTTTAAAGCCAGATTGTTATATCACCATTGAGTGGTCAATATTGGTGAATCTATTTGTTTAAATGTTAATGGGAGCAAATTTTCACTGGCTCTTAAGTTTGAAAAACCCGAGATCACTTTAGAATCATATATAAAAACCCTTCGCTGCTTCCGTCTGGTAAATTACCCCAAATGGAAAAGAAAAATATACATACATACGTACATACATACACACACACAAACACACCCAAAGACAGTCAATATGTTGCTACAGAATTATTGACAAAAAATACAATATTTTGACAGTTTCAAGTGTAAATCACTCAAACATTTAAAAATTCTACTACAAAAAATAACAAATATTATCCTACCTTTACGTAAGCAGGCTGTTTTTCAAGGATTAAATCTGCCACTTTTTTAGATACCTATAAGAAGATGTAATCAAACAAAGGAAGCAAAAGAAAAAGCTTCATGCTTTCTAGGATATTTTATATTTGAATTTTTAAAAGAATATTCCATAGATCTCCCCAATAACTTCTAGAGCAGATATTGGCATACTATGGCCATACACATTTCCCTGGGTTAGGAAATTAGCAAAAGAGGTAATATAATAAAGCACATAGCACAGGTCCTGGTCCTTAACAGAAACTCAATAAATGGTCATTATTATTGTTAATAATATGAGTATCATTATCTGATTTACCTAACATTAACCAAAAAGTGTAACCATCTTTAAGGGAATAGGATTTGATTGAAAAAGATGAAATTGTTAAGCAGATTTTTAATCAAATGAATTTATGGAGACAATATCTGGGAAAAAGAACTTGCTTATATCCTTTAGATCCTTTATGCTGCCTAAGAAGACAAGCAAGTAGTTTGGTTCTCCACTTCTGAAAAGTTGAAAATATGTTTTTTGGAACGCTATGAAGATATCTAAGGTTGTGTGTATTGTTCCATGAATAATATTAATGTATGCAGGTTAGAAGTATAATGATTTTGAACATGAGGCTCTAATTCCACCATTTCAGGGCCCCTGCCAACTTCACTAACAGAGATAGCACATGTAGCATGAAGCAGGACATACAGAAAGTATTTAGGGAATGTTTGCTCCAGAAACACAACTGGCTCCCCTTCCCCAGGCCAACTGAGAACAAAACATTGCACACCTACTACACTACTGCATTAATCCTTTCACATTTTCTTAATCTGCTTCAAGCATCTTTGAAATTATGTAAATCAATTTTTAGATACATTCATTGTTTTTGTCTAGAAAGAGGAATTCCATTAAGGTTAAGAAAATCAAATTGTAAATGAGTTTTAGACTTCAATTAATGAAGAAATATCAATGTTATCTTAAACATCATTTTAAGAATTCCAAAGGTTCCACAGGATTGTCTAGTAATAGAGAGTACTGGTTCGTGGCCTGTGAGGAACCAGGCTACACAGCAGGAAGTGAGTGGCAGGTGAGCAAGCGAAGCTTCATCTGTATTTATGGCCGCTCCCCATCACTTGCATTACAGCCTGAGCTCCACCTCCCATCAGATCAGCGGTGCCATTAGATTCTCATAAGAGCACTACCTCCATCCCTACTGTAAACTGCACATGCGAGGAATCTAGGTTGTGTGCTCCTTTTGAGACTCTAACACCTGATGACCTGTCACTGTCTCCCATCAGATGGGACCGTCTAACTGCAGGAAAACAAGCTTAGGGATTCCACTGATTCTACATTATGCTGAGTTGTATAATTATTTCATTATACATTATGATGTAATAATAATAGAAATAAAATACACAATAAATGAAATGCACTCGAATCATTCTGAAACCATCCCCACCCCACCCCTGCCAGTCCATGGAAAAATTGTCTTCCACAAAACTGGTCCCTGGTGCCAAAAGAATTGGCAACCACTGCTCTAGAGCTCAAATCCCTTCTCCTGCCCAAGACTGCCCTACACCAACACTGCTACCTCCAAGCAGACCCTAGCACCCACTGCGACTCCTGAGTGTAATAGAAAAGTATACCTTCCTTTGTTTGCCAGTTGTATTATTAAAAATCATATCTTAAATTCAAACAGATACATTTATTACTACTGGTCCTTTTGTTGAAAAAAAAAAAAGACCACATGCTACCATTAATTAATACCTACAGTAGAGTTTAAATTTCATAAAGTGGGTTTAGCCTAACATGAAGAAATTACAGAATCAGAGAATTTTACAGCATTAAAGAAAATTCTTGCATTTTCTTTATTAGGTTACTTAGTAAAGTAACCTATCACTTTACTGATAAATAAAAGGGAGTCACTGAGGTTAAATGATTTACTCAACATCATAAATAAATAGTGACTACAACTCAGACTTTCTGAATCTCAGGGGGACTTTTATTCCGAGAGAATACTCCATTACAGGGCCAGGCATAGTGGCTTGTGGCTGTAATCCCAGTGCTTTGGGAGGCTGAGACAGGAGAATCGCTTAAGCCCGAGTTCGAGAACACCCTGGGCAACATAGTGAGATGTCATCTCTACAAAACATTAAAAAAATAGCCAGACTAGTGGTACATGCCTCTAATCCCAACTACTCAGGAGGCCAAGGTGGGAGGATTATTTGAGTCCAAGAGGGATAGGCTGCAGTGAGCCATGATCACGCAACCGCACTCTAGACTGGGCAACAGAGCAAGACCCTGTCTCAAAAAACAAAAAAGAATACTCAGTTACAAAACTATGGATAGGGAAATCATATGTGTATGACAAGGAGCCTAGGAGCCTAAAGGTACTTACTAATCTAAAACAAAGTTCAAAGTTCTTTGATCACATTTAGGATTCCAGAGAGAAAATTCCAAGCTCTAGAAGCAAATCTATCAAGGTAACATAAGGAAAACCATATGCATTAAATTTTTAATATAAATGCATCATTTGAATCAGTCATATTAAATAACAAGATTTGTTTCTATGTTAATTATTAGTTAAAACCATAAATCTGCCAACATTATACCTCTCTGTTGTGTTTCATCTAGAGTTTTGTCAGAAAGAAATGTGGTTTTTTTTACTTACTGCAGCTTGCTGTTGTTTCAATTTGTCTCTGTACGCCTCTAATTCTTGCAAATTGAGAACAGGTGGAAGCTTCTGCAGAAAAAAAATTCATGAATGAAAAGGAAAAAATAAATTGTTGAATTTGGTTTCATTTACCTGGACCCTTCTGACTAGTGAACTACAAACTCTGCATACAAAACATGTCACATCCCACTGCCCTCCATGCTGCCTGTTCTCCCAACCTCCCTCCTAGGCTCCAACCACAAAAACCTATATATCTTTAGCCCTCTGGTTCCATCCCTCATTCAGCCTTGTTACCTCCACTGCTGCTGCTCTGCCTTCTGAGAAACCCCACTACCACTTGGGACTCCGGACCCTAGGCCAACAGACACTGCTGCCACAGCCTATGTCAGGAGAATGTGAGAAAGTAAATAACCTAACCCCAACTCTACCATCCACAGATATATCTCTATTTGTTTATGACAGAACTCAAAACAGAGTTCTCCTCTGGAATATTACAAACCATAAATACTACTGTGTGACCATTGTTGGACTACATTCTGGATTACCTCAACTTTCAGAGGACAGTATGGGAAACTAACCAAAAAATGCATACCATTGTGTATACAGGGAAACACTCTCAGTCAACTGATTGATGAAACTTCAAACTGAGTTGGGGACTGACTGTGAATAATGCATATAAAGTATATATGCATACAGCATTTGGTTGTATCTAAAACTAAATTTCACTATTCTGGCTTTTGTTAAAGTTCTACAAATTTAAAATGTCAGTATTATAAACACTATGGTGTAAGAATTTTTATCATCACTAAACAATTATGTAAATACATATTTCATAATTAAAAGTCTGAGCTTCTCTAAACATAGACAATATAAAATAGGATAGAAACAGCATACTAACACATTAAATGCTAACAATTGAAAATCAAAAATACAGAAATGTTTCCCTGAACGGCTGTATTTAAAGTTACATCTAAAAAATAATAATTTCATCGCCAAACAATGTTGACAGTTGATTTAATCACAATGTGGTAATCACAGACCTATTCTGGTACCAAAAATATATAAATGCCTCAAAAAAGCATCCAAATCTCACAAATCCAATCACTGAACAAAATACGCCTTAGTTATGTTTTAATGAAACTCTGTTTACCTCCAGCTCATATTTAACAACATCAAATGAATCCGCAGAAAAATATACTTGTTCAATACTATTAATAAGCTCTTGTTCAGCTTGAGGGTCACTTGGCTGTTCTCGAAGTTCCCTGAATTCTTCCTTTAAGAAAAAAAAAAATCATAATTATAGTAATTGTAGCTGTTAAAATTCTACCTGCATGGAAATAAATGATCATTTGTCTTAACAGTCACATCTACCTGGTACAATTCTGACCAAGGAAACAAACCAACAGAAACCAGAAAAGTTCACAGGAAATTAGGAAATAGCCAACCATTAAGACTAACAACTAGGGAAGAAAACTAGCTAGTTTGAATATTCAGATTTTATCCTCAATTCCTTGCATGTCAAGAAGGTTGAAAACAATACTAATGTTCAACAAAAGAAAAAAAAGTGACTACCTAAACCTATCATACATACATATCACAGATATATACATTTTACATTTAGAATATTTAATAACATTCTAAAATCTGTCTCACAACAGATAATAAGGGAAGAACACCTCAACAACTTCTGGGTCACAATCAACTTTGGAGCCCTGAGCAGAAGACATCAACTCTGCTAAAAAAATCTCAGCACTCAACTAAGAAACAGTGGCTCCAGAAAAGGTTCACAAATTTAGTTCTGTAATTCTAAGAAGCTTCCTTCAAAGTGGATTGCTGTTACACTTAATGATCTGATTATGAATCTAAATTTCTGTATATGATAAAATGCTTTCTTTCTAATGATACAGAATGGAGGTTATGTGGATTTGAAGAAGAGCCTAACAGACAAATCCCTAAACCCAATGTCAGCATCCATATCCTATGCAACTTCACTGCACAATCAGATAAAGCTTCAGTTAACTAGTAAATTTTTACAATTCAGATACCCACTCCCCTGCCACACTAGTTAATCAAGACATTATTATAGACACATAACAAGTTAGCCATTTGATTTTTAATTCAAATTAACCTCAAATACATTTATATACACAAAAAGGAAATACTGTTTTAAGTCATTTTACAGTAATTAAAACAACACAAAAATACTAAGGAAATACACAAAAATTATCTAGTCAATTAAAGAACAGTATATTTTTCTTTTTTTTCTTTTTATTTTTTATTAGAGTTCTGGGGTACATGTGCAGAATGCGCAGGTTTGTTACTAGGTATATACGTGCCATGGTGGTTTGCTGCACCCATCCACCCGTCATCTACATTAGGTATTTTTCCTAATGCTATCCCTCCCCTAGCCCCCACCCCTCAATAAGCCCCAGTGTATGATGTTCCCCTCCATGTGTTCTCATTGTTCAACTCCCACTTGTAAGTGAGAACATGCAGTGTTTGGTTTTCTGTTCTTGTGTTAGTTTGCTGTGAATGATGGTTGCCAGCTTCATCCATGTACCTGAAAAGGACATGAACACATCCTTTTTTACGGCTGCATAGTATTCCATGGTGTATATGTGCCACATTTTCTTTATACAGTCTATACTTGATGTGCATTTGGATTGCTTCCAAGTCTTTGCTATTGTGAATAGCGCCGCAATAAACATACGTGTGCATGTGTCTGTATAGAATGATTTACAATCCTTTGGGTATATACCCAGTAATGGGATTGCTGGGTCAAATGGTATTTCTAGCTCTAGATCCTTGAGGAATTACCACACTGTCTTCCATAATGGTTGAACTAATTTACACTCCCACCAACAGTGTAAAAGCATTCCTATTTCTCCATAACCTCTCCAGCATCTGTTGTTTCCTGACTTTTTAATGATCGCCATCCTAACTGGTGTGAGATGGTATCTCACTGTGGTTTTGATTTGCATTTCTCTAATGACCAGTGATGATGAGCTTTTTTTCATATGTCTGTTGGCTGCATAAATGTTTTCTTTTGAGAAGTGTCTGTTCATATCCTTCGCCCACTTTTTGATGGGGTGGTTTTTGTTCTTTTCTTGTAAATTTCTTTAATTTCTTTGTAGAATCTGGATATTAGCTCTTTGCCAGATGGATAGATTGCAAAAATTTTCTCCCATTCTGTAGGTTGCCTTTTCACGCTGATGACAGTTTCTTTTGCTGTGCAGAAGCTCTTTAGTTTAATCAGATCCCATTTGTCTATTTTGGTTTTTGTTGCCATTGCTTTTGGTGTTTTTTTTTTTTTTTTTTTTTTTTTTGAGGCGGAGTCTCGCTGTGTCGCCCAGGCTGGAGTGCAGTGGCCGGATCTCAGCTCACTGCAAGCTCCGCCTCCCGGGTTTATGCCATTCTCCTGCCTCAGCCTCCCGAGTAGCTGGGACTACGGGCGCCGCCACCTCGCCCGGCTAGTTTTTTGTATTTTTAGTAGAGACGGGGTTTCACCGTGTTAGCCAGGATGGTCTCGATCGCCTGACCTCGTGATCCGCCCGCCTCGGCCTCCCAAAGTGCTGGGATTACAGGCGTGAGCCACCGCGCCCGGCGCCTTTGGTGTCTTAATCATGAAGTTCTGCCCAGGCCTATGTCCTGAATGGTATTGCCTAGCTTTTCTTCTAGGGTTTTCAGGGTTTTAAGTCTTATGTTTAAGTCTTTAATCCATCTTGGGTTAATTTTTGTATAAGGTGTAAAGAAGGGATCCAGCTTTCTGCATATGGCTGGCCAGTTTTCCCAGCACCATTTATTAAATAGGGAATCCTTTCCCCATTGCTTGTTTTTATCAGAGATCAAAGAACAGTATATTTTTCAAATAGAGACATTCTAGATTATTTTATTGTGGGGCATATTTTTTATTTGTAAAAAGAGCCCTGCTCAGATATATTTTAGAGTTTAACTTACATATTGTATTTGTAAAATTAACTATAAAATTATTCCCTATTAGTACTTTCAAGCTAAAAAAATAGAACAAATCTAAAACTCAAGAAAATAGTTGACTGTTTAAATGTAAATTCCAATAAACTTAAAAGAGAAGGCAAACTCATAAATATCAAACCTGCATAATAAAAAATGCTTGGAAAGGAAAAATCCCTCTTCTGTACTAACTCATAAAATACACTGAGAAAAAATGACATAGCTATCACTGAGTCAGCCTGCGATCAGCTACTATGAGTGCAGTAAGAAATCCGGGGTCCTAACAGTGGGCGCTATATTCCCAAAGGGGTTTATCTACAACACATGAATCCATTTAGCACCCTGGACAGTGGTGCTGCACACAGACTTGGTTAAAACTCACACGTGTGGAAGGGAAGGTTACCAACTAGCCTATCAACAGGCAGCCTCCGTGCATCCAATGGAAATATGAAATGAAAGTGAGACATGAAATGGAAGAGGAGGTCTGAACTTCCTGGCAATCTCTTTCCCTAAAAGTCCACAGACATTTGAAATACCAGCTTCAAATACTGTAAGCTAAGGGAGGGGAGGAAATAAGGCCCAAGTGAGGACATGGCAACACTGCCTCCCTAGGAATTCTGCAGTCTGCAGTAATATGAGCAAATAAATGCAGTTGATATCATTCAAGACAAAATATTTGAAGATTACAAAAACTGTTACGATTTTTTAAATCAGAAATGGAGCCAAGCTAGAAATTAAAATAGACTGCAATGATTACTTTCATTTTAAAAGCATAAATGTCAATGACATATAACACCATGCTGAGGTTCTCCATATAGTGCCTAATTGATTAATAAGAAGGTAAAGATACTTGGATTTTTAGCTGCAATTCCGTTATTAACCCTCAGCAACTTAGTCTCTTCATGCCTAGTTTTTTTTTTTTTTTTTTTTTCCCACCTGTAAAGGGCAAACATGTATTCTTTCTCTCTCTTTGTGTGTGTGTCTCTCTCTCTGTCTCGGTCTCTCTCAAAATGACAGTGAAACAAATATCCAAATTTATTAAGAAAGCCAAAGAAAAAACATAATTTATAAGTATCTCACAAGTGTACATTTCAAAAACATGATGACTCTGTAAAAGGACTACAATCTGTATATGTATGTCAAATGCTATTCTTTCCTGAAGAACTAAGCAATTAGTATCACAGAAAGCATACCACCCCATATAATTTCAAAGAACTGACATGGAATACCTGACACTCTGAAGTGTAAGAAACCTGGACTAAGGAAAGGAATAAAACCTAGAAAATCAGAAAAAGAAATGTAGCATACAAAATAGAATTAAATCTAAAACAAATGCCCCCATGTAACATTATTTGCCTATAAAATATCCTCTCCTTTAAAACAATTTCATAGCTTCTATGTGAAAATATACATCTGAACTGGAACTTATTCAAACCCCCTTCTGACTAGAATCCCGATCACCATGTTCTTTTTAGTCCCACTGAACTAGCAGTCTGTAAAGCTCTGCTTCTACCTAATCATTGTCTAAACGTTTCATTGCTGTTAGGGATGCCTGCTCAATCAGACTGTACACTTCTTGAGAACTGAGATTTCTCTTCGTTCTGCATCATGCTGCTCCACAGTGCCAAGGCACACCGTAGATAGTAATCACTGATCAAACTAAAATTAATTTACAGTTAATTGCCAAAAAATAAATATAAGACAAAAGGAAAGGAAAAGACAATATGTTCTTGTTTCAATAGTCAAAATTTTCCACAAACTCTTAGTAAAACATTTCTTTATTTTAATTAGAGATAACAATATGAACTGATTTAGGAATATTTTATACATGTAAATTAGAAAAATAAACAGAAGCATCCAGATTGCATATTCTTAACACAATTACTCCATAATTTAATAGAAACTGATTTCCTAGGGTGGGAGATGTACAAAAATACACAATTCTTCACCTAAAATAGAACCAATACATAGGTGTGAGGCCAAATTTTACATAAACAAAACAAACAAAAGGTTTCCTATTTAAAAATTACAAGGCAAAATTGGGGAAAATGAATACCAAATGAAACTTCTTATACCATATTTAAACATGTGATTTAAGAAAAAAATTAGAATAATCTTAGATATTCAAACTAAGTCTGGGATAAAATATTTCAGCCTTAAAAATGTTTAAAACATTTTTATAATAAATTTTATGTCACATAGTAATTAATAAATACATAGTCACATTAATAGTGATATAAATGCTCTCTAAAACTTGAAAATCCAAAAATAATTTGTTAACAACTACAGGCTACCAAATGTGCT